AGTCATCCTCTCATCACAGAAACACCAGGCGCTAAGGATAGCAAGGGCAGAAACATCATCAGCCATCCTAGCCACCCCAAACAAGTAACATTTAACCCATTTCCTCTTGGGATGGGTTTAGAAACAGTACCCCTGCCAGACTGGCCCCTGTCTCATGAGATATTGGCAACCTAAAATACCAATATGGAGAATCCTTCTCAGAGTCCTTTCATCTGGTTTCATTTGTCCCCAACTTTTGTCTGAGGCAGGAACTGAAGACGGGTCACGGGCTCAGGCCCTGCTTGCTTCTGGTGTGCAAACCTGCCCCAGATATAAATACCATCTATGCTGGCTCCTATAATTGGGGTGAAGTAAGGAGGTCAGGTCTGGCCAGCGCCATATTGGCCACATGGTGGATGGTAGGGTCTGGCATCTTGTCTTCATGCTGTGGAAGGGAACCGCCCTCCTCCTCCCCCTACCATCACCTGCCTCCCAAGTAATGGGCATGCCTAGACCCCTGGAGGCAAGGGCAGGCACTTGGCTGGCTGCTAGGTTACTGAATCTGTCAGTCTAGTGCCTGGGACTGGGAATTTTCTGAGGATCTGCCCCCTGCGCCTACCTACTTAGGCCAGGGCCAGCCTAGCTGCAGGACTCCATGCCACGTGTGTCTCTGTGATCGTCCTGTGTCCTGTGTCCTGGCTAGTCTCCAGTCATCAGGGAGTCCCAATTCAGCTCTCCATTGGAGGCTTGCTGGTATTGTTCTTGTTATTTCTTTCCTCTTTAGCATGTTTCCTAGCTGTGTGATGTGTATTTGCGTGCTGCAGGCCTTTGTAACAACTGGCGGCCTGCAGCCCGTTCACTGTATAGTAAAGACTCCAATATTCAATATCTTAAAATGTGGCTTCTGGGATGATTTACCTTACAACAGGGAAAGCAGATGCTCTGATGTTACGTACACCCCCAGGTTATAATGTCAAAAATTACACTTGTGCCCAGGTTCTCTTCAGTGCCCATGACTGTATAGAACTAAAGAGGGGCAACTTTGCTTGTGCCAACTATTGTAAGGTGAATCATCCCAGAAGCCACATTTTAAAATATAGAATATTAGAGGCTTTATTATGAATGCATCTTATATGCTAAGGGCCATGTTTCCTTACCCAATGGCTGGGTATTTTTTTTTAACCTGTGAGAGTTATACTCTTAATTATATCCCTGCCAATCTGCTTCATAGCTCCCAATGCTGCTTAAGCCATCTAGCTGTTGTACCGCCCCACAAGGAGCTCTTCCAGCCTCAGTAAGTGGTCTAGTGCTGAATGAGAACTGTACATTGCCCTCACTTTTTCCTTGCTTGTGATACCAGGGCTGGTGGCAGGAGCCTATATATTTGGCATGTGTTGTGGCAAAAAGCATTAACTATACCTCCTCTGCCATTGCACTGCTGTTGTTGACAATCACACTGCCTTGATTACTCTTACTCCACCACTAAAGGTAGGAGGAGATTAAAAAAAAAAAAACTTGTGCTGCTGTGATCTAACTGATAGCCGCTATGTCATCAAGGAACAAGTCAAACATCTCAGAAAACTTTCCTCCCTGGCTCATGCCTATCTTGGGTCCTAATTGCATTTTTTGCCTCATACAAATTGTGCCTTGCCTATTCTGGTGCATGAAGAAAGAACATCCTTATGGGAAAGATGAGACTTTTCACCCATCAGTCAATCAGATGCTCCTAGCAGAGTGCCTGGTCTAGTGTCCTTGTTGACCCTTTTCTCAGCAGGAAGCAGCTCCAGGAGAAATGACCTTTGCCCCTGCTCCCCACTGGGTACCACCCTCATCCAATTATTAAACCAAAGAGTGGGGGATGTTAGCCCAGAAGCCTCCTCCCTCATGGCTTAACATGCTCTTTCCCAAGGCCACAATAGGTCCATGTAGTAAAGGCAGCAAAAGCAAGCATTAAGGGCAGGGGAGTATGGCTCAAGTAGCCCAGTAAGCCATGAGGCTCTCTTCAAATCTCAACACTACCACCACCACCAAAAAAGTTTAAAAAAGGAAAAACCTTATACCCTTTAGCCTCTTAAAATTTGTGCTCCCACCCCAACTCCTTGGCCCTCAGTGACCATTAACGTATTCTTGTCTCCACAGATTTCTCATTTGTGGACCTTCCTAGGAAAGGAATCAGCCAACAGCCTGACTTGGCAGCCAGCGCTCTCTTGATAGCATCCATTTTCAGTGTTCTCCCATATGTAGGCAGGTGGCAGTACCCCTTCCTTTTCATGGACAATTTTCTGGTGTGAATGCGCCTCATTTGCTCATTTATATCATTTGTGTGTTTATCTCCTGATAGTCATTTCTGTTATTTTTCCCACTCAGGGGACACTGTCTGTATGTGTGCATAATTCTGTGCTGTTGTAAGTGCTCATTCCGCTCATTCCCTTGGGCTTCATGCCTGGGGAATAAGTTGCTGGGTCACAGCTTAACTCCGTTTCATTCTTTGAAGCACAGCTAGAAGATGTCCCACAGTAGATTCACCACTTAGATGACCAGATGAGAATTCTTCAGTATCAGCAGCTGAACACACTTGAGGACAGAGCATTAGTTTCCTTCCCTGTGAGAAAACAACCTGGCACAACCTAAAGGAGGGAAGATGTGTTTGGGTTCATAACCCATGGTGGGGTGGATTCAGATTGCTGGCAATTGAAGCCACACAAATGGAATCTGTGAATAAGGACTGCTGCTGCATTTTCTGTGAGGTACAGCTTGGGTGTGCCCTCCCACCCGCCTCCCACTGTAAAACAAGATGATGTGTGTGGACTAGAACCTTGTTCTCTTTCCCTAAGCACACCCAGCTATTAAACTACACTAATTTCCTACCCATGGCTCTATTATTCCCAACAAGGCCCAGGTCATAAATGGCTCTGCCAACCACATTCTGACTCCTTTGAAAGAATACCTTTCCTGGGCAGTTTTTGATGTGGGCTTAGAATCTAGGCACGCAACCTCTCCCCTTCCTCCTTGATGTACCAGTCTCTGATCTCCTGCAAATACACCTAGAGTATAGCTCACATCTGGAGCTTCTTCCCAATTGTGTTTCACCATGACCTCCATTTTCTCCCTTCGATGGTGCCTTTACTCTTGGATTTCTTCACTTTGTTGCAAATGAAGTGAGCTCCTTGGGAAGAGATTAGGAGCCATCAGCTGGTGATCAGTGGAATGGAAGCGTAGGTTTTACAACATCATCTTTCTGGAGTGAGCATCACTGACTCCCCCATGCATTTCTTGGCCGCGTGTGTCACTGTAACCCCACCTGCCTGAGTCTGAAGCACAGCAACTCGTCACTACCGAAGGCCTTGGATGGAAGAAGCTCTTCTATTACAGGTATTCAGACAGAAGGAGAGCCTCTGGCACCAGCAGGTGTCACAGAAGGGTCTTCCTCTTCAAAGCATGGTCCATGTCCTAGAGGCAACAGCAGCATCTGGAAACTAACTGGACATGTTGAATCTCAGGCCTCACTCCAATCTAGACAGGTGGGAGCCTACACTATCCAAGCTCCTGGTGAGTCAGGATCATAACAAATCTGAGAAGCACCAGACCAGCACTGAGGATCATCCCTGGCCATGTTGCTACAACCACCATCACAGATGATTAGAATTCAAATATCTGGGGTAGGGTCTTTGCAGTGAGGCAGTGGAGGGTCCCTGTGTCCTTCTTCAGACCTCCTCCTCGTTCTCTGCTATGGTAATATCTGTGAGGACTACTCTAACTCCAGGTTTCCCACCATCCCAAGCACTTTCCCCATAGCCCTTCCTTTAATCCCCACCACCCTCTAACCTTGGCCCTGGAATCCCCAGATTATAGATATGAATCTAGAACCTCCTCCAGCTGGGAATTTTGTCATTCTTCATTGATGTCTTGAAAGGCTGAAAAGCAAAGCAATCCTGGGGAGGATCGAAAGCACCATCAGCTCAAGACACTGTAGAGGCTCAAGACAAAGTTGATGTGTAAACATTATGAAAGAGACATAGAGCCAGAAACCACAAGGCTGGATAACATGGATGGCCCAGCTCTGTCTCTAGATGGTGTTAAGAGCTCAGCTGGTCCTCAGTCGCAGTTTCTCTGAACACCTGGTCCCATATCTCCACCATTCAGGCCTTTTACCATGGTACACATCAGTGAGTGCTACTCCGTGCCAGTGTTCTCTGTGTACCAGGGCAGCTCAGGGCAAGCCTCTGTGTTCCTCTTGTGGGTCATTATGTAAGAGGCAACTGAAAAGCTACTTTTGCTGGGCTCCTGTGACTTCACTACGCTAGACACCCAGCTCTCCTACTATGTATTTGTGTTCTCTGACCTGAGTTCTTCTTTTCTACAGTCATTGCCATCACTTGATCCACCCATAAGCACGCTGTGACCAAAGGCAAAAGTGTGCTATTTCTCAGGCATCTTCTTACCATCTTGAAGAGGACAGTCAAAAGCTATAAATCACCCACCAGGCCTTACGAGAGTCAAAGACTGAGCATATCACCCACCAGGCCCGTGACTTGGGACTGTGTTAACTGTGTATACCTTTCTCACCCAAAGGCGGCTGAAGATGAACTCAAGTGCTGTCTTCTTCCCATGACTGCCATATAATAAATCTCCTTTCTCTGCCTTTCACTGTATCTCTTTATTTGGGATTATGTGACTCCTGGGCTTTAAGTCAGTGGAGCGGGGGGGGGGGGGCATCTAAAAACCCAGTTTCCATTCCAGAACAACATAAGGGAAAAGGTGGTACTCAACCCAGGTTTCCTCTATTCCATTTGCAGCTATGATGGCCAACTCTATCTCATTGGCAGCCATGGTACCACGGGGCTGGATGTCTGAGGGCATCGTAGCACCCTACCCTTTAACACAGTTATGAGTCTGGTCTCTCAACATCATCTGTCAACCCAAATTACCACTTCCACCCGACTCATTTTCTATCAAAGCTTTTCATCATCTCACCTTGTGCCCTCACCCAGGTCCCACCAAAAAACAAACCAAGAGAGATCCGTGAGTTACTCTGATGTTTATTTCCATGCATCTTAGTCCACACAGTTGGTATAAAATCAGAAAAAGCAAAAGCAACAGCATATAAAGGTCTGGAGTCTTAGCATCACAAGGCACCGTATATACATCTACAGTTGGTGGCCAATAGAAATCATCGCCAGACAGTCCTTGAAGCTACAGAACATTCTAGACCCAGCCACGCCTGGGAGCTCAAGGGTCCCAAGGGTCTAGACACTTGTCCTGATGCTCTGACCGCTAAGCAACATATGGAAGTGATCGAGGCTTTAAGATGTACTCATGATAGTAACAGAAGCAGCCTAGCTGGGTACAAAAGCAGTTATGAGTCATTTACACAATGCAGAATTCTGCACGTCCCCATTCTGCTTTTCTGTGGTAAGATGGTTAATTGAATTTCCAGTGAGTCGTTTAGAGGATTAGTGAGAATAAGGAATGGTAAATCCATAGCACCATTTCACAGATTTCTTGTCACCCACGACTTCTCATTTCAGATGTGTGACCGAGCTATTCCGCCTGGAAGGGCAAATATTCCAAAGCCACAAGCTGTGTTTCTGCCGAGGGCTCCAGTCTTGAGCATTTGGTTGGGTGCTGAGGGCTCCACAATGAGATTTAGATCATGAATACCCTGTGCCCCGGGCCTTGCTCCCTCCCATCCACCCACACTTTGGAAGGCCACTGGGGGTGAGTCCCTCATACTTTGGTTGACTAATAGGGTGGAGTGGGAGGGAGGTATTTTCTTTTAGATGAAAGCCAGGGGAGGGGGTAAGTTTATTTCTGGGCAAAAATAAGAGACTGAAAAAAAAAAAACGAAAACAATACTGAGCTTGATTACACTGTTAGGATGTAAAAGTTCCTTAGCTACATCTTTAGGGTTCAACACGAAGGCTGATGGTCAACACACAAAGCAAACAATACTATGTACATATATGTAAAAAGTGTTATAAATAGGTTTTATAAACCGTAGATATTATATACATCTTCAATCGACAGCAATGCCCTCCCCTCCCCCCTTACCTTCTCAACTGTTTTAGGTTTGGTTTGGCTTTAAGTCGGGGTTTGGGGCTAGCTCGGATTTTGGTGGTTGGTTGTCATTTCCTGATTTCCCTCCTTCCCTCTCTCCCTGCTCATGCTCAGAGCCTCCCAAGGACCCCCCGGGGTCCCTCCATGGAGGCACCTCATTCACGTTTCCGCAAGATCACGTAGATAACCCCACTGAGCAGGGCCAGCGGGAAGGCCACCCAGGCCAGGATGTAGGCAAAGCCGTAGGAGTAGTCAGTGTTGAGGTGCCATTCGGAGTGTCTCACTGTGTAGATGGAGGCCGCGCTCATCACACATAGACCTGAGGGAGAGGACAGCAACAGTGGGTGAGAACGGGCTGGTGAGTCCTCCCTCCAGAGCATCCCCAGGGACAGCACTGGGCAGGAAGCATGTTTCTCACCGTGGAGAGAACCTGCTTCTGGGTTCAAATCCGAGGGGAGTCTGTGGAACAACACTGTGCCATAACTGGAGGTTTAATATGGAAGAGACATTGGGCTCTGTGCAGACCACAGGGCCGGGGTGGGGGGGAGCTATGGTTCCCTTGGCAGTGTTACCCCAGGAAAGATGCCTGAAGCCCAAGATGGCTAGCAGGACATTAGTTCCACCGTGGGTCAGGGCCTCCCTGCTCCACCAAGGCTGCCCCTTGGTGTGGAAAGCGGAAAGGAAGTCCACGTGACAGTCAGCGTCCCTCCACAGGGAGGGGTCTGGTGACATCAACAGCCCATTCTGGAACCACACACAAAGCCCAACTGTTCCCTCCTGAAAACAGGGTCTTTGAACCGCTCTGAGAGACTCTATTATACACCCAGAGGGCCGCGTGGGCCGCGTGTGTTTCCAAAGCTGGCCATGCCTGGGCCACCTACATCTAACCTCACTGCTATTCGGGCTACTGTCACATCGGACACTGCAACTTTGTTTGAACAAAGTACAGAAGTGGAACTGTGCCACAGCAGCGACCCTGATAGGCTGGTACGTCTGTAACTCAGAACAGGGAGAGCTCCCACTCACCCGGCCCCCTTTGGAAAAAGCCACACAATAGTCTTAGAACAACAGTCGGATGGGATCCAGGACCTGCTGCTACCTACAGAAAATGGCCGGTGGATGGCTGTTTGGAGGAAAATAGCAATTTGAGCTGTTGGGAGATACTTGAGGCTAGAATTGAGGTCCAGCCATGCTCCCTAGCACTCCCCATTCTAAAGTACTCCTTACTTTTTAAGAAGTATTGAAGGCTGGTTGGGGAAGGGATGGGGGGGGAGTAACTTTGCTTAGAAGGAGAGCGCTTACCTAGCATGCTCAAGGTTCTAGGTTTCATCCCCAGCACCACCATAAAATTAAGAAAACTGGGGAGTCGTGGTCCATACCTGTAATCCCAGCACTCAGGAGGCTGGGGCAGGAAGAACTCAAGTGTAAGGCCAATCTGAACCAAATGGTGAGACCCCTTCTCTCCCCCAGTCTCACAAAACAGAACAAAGTAAAGTTGTCTCTTGAGCTATGTCTCACCTATTCGATGAAGACAGAACCTTAAGGAAAGTTCATAGTACCGACAAGAAGGCAGAAAGGGTAGGACAGGGCCAGTGGTGTGGGTCACCCTACTGGAACCTCAGAAAGGAATGAAACTCCACTGTGATACGCTCTGAGTTCAGATGCTCGCAAAGACCAAGAGAAGAAACACACTTTCTAACTACCATTGTAAAGGGACGGATGTTTACAGGATGTGTTGTTGCTGCTACACGACTGCTTGCCTGTGAAACACAAGACGTGCTCTCAAATGTAGGAGAGTCTGAGGACCCAGACTCACATTTAATTAACTCTTAGACAACACAGCCGTCCCCCAAAGCCGACTCCTCCTTGCTTGCGGCGACTTACTTTCTCAGCTAACAGCCAGAAGGGATGCATCATCAGGGTCCCCAAGGGACAGGCAAGGACCTGGCATGCAGCCAAGTGTCTTACCACGCCCATAAATGAGAATCCCATGCTTTGGCAGTGACTGAGCCTCGGAGTGCAGGTCAGATGTGTGCAGGGCCATAAGCCAGTGTAGGCAACACAAAGGTGACTGGGTATGCAAGTTTCCAGCATGTAAGCCTGTCCCAGGAAGGCTGGGTCTACAGTAGGCCCCTGAACAGCCTCCTAACAGCCTTTTGCAAAAGAAGATGCTTTGTGACAGCAACATGGGCCTATGGTCCACAGGAGCCCAGAATCTTCTGAAAGCAGGTGGCTGACCAGTGGAGCTCTTGGTTGCTGGATTAGCTGTTGTCTGTCTCGCCCTCAATCACAGCCCTACCTTGCCACCACATCATTGTTCCTCCAGTTCAGACTGCGCCAGCCACGTGATCACGTGTTTTGTGGGGTTAGGGACTTCCTGACGACAAATCAAAAGGCATCCCCCTCTAGTTCAGTGCTTTTCAACCTTCATTGTCCCTCAGAATCAGTTGGGACACTTAAAAAAGTCCCACCTCTGGAAAACTCCCTTCAATAGCTGCTTCCCAGTCATTCTGGTGTGCACCTAGGCTTGGGAGCTGTTTGGTGTAAACATGAAACTGTCCCCTTTGTGATTCTTCCAAATCTCCTTCCTGGAGGAGCTGTATTCTGATCCCATACCTGAGTTTGAGAGCCATGTCCCTGTTTTCCACAGGAGGAGCTGCCCATCCCCAGACAGGAGTTACCTTTGCTTTGGTAGGTTACTCCAGAAGGAAACACATCAAGAAATTCATACAGTGTGTGTTTTCATTGATTTGGGTACTTAATACTGAGCAACTAGCTTCATGCCAGGCACAGAAGAAAGTTCCAATCGCCCACTGGATGCTAGATGATTGTGTTCTCAGGGAACAGGGCCAAATGTAAAAGTTACTGGGATTCAGGAGCAGAAGAAATAGAAGGAGATTTCTGAGTGAGTCTTATCTTCTGATTGAGACAGATCAATACAGACAGAGATGCAGGGCTGTTAGAACAAATGCATTTTCAGGACAGGCTAATGACCCTCCTTGCTCTGAGCAAGTTGAAGATGATGGAAATCAGACACCACATTTAGGAGCCCTGCCCAGGAGTGAGTCACCCCAGACATCCTACTTCTGGTCATGTTCAGATAGGGGCCCAGTAATGCTGCAGGTGGTTCTCAGGAAGTCTCTACATCTTACCTCTAAAGTGTCTAACTCTTACTTCTCAGCTTTAGTGGAAAGACCCAACAGCAAACGATCCAACTTAAATGAATGTTCTAGAAATCTGAAGACTCCAGGAGACCAATGCAGACCCTTTTGACCAGAATCAACAACTAACGCGCAGAATATTCTTAATACTTAGAAGTGGCAGCTGCTATTTGGCTTGGATGTTTCCAACTCCAGATAACTTGTTGTTTAAATACGCATCAGTCAGCTGACAAAACCATAACTGAAAATGAGGTCTCATGAGAGATAAGCAGCTAGATTTGTAAGGAGTAAGGGAGAAATAAGTCACGTGCCTTTACAGTCAGAGGTATTTGGGGGAATGAACCTAAAATGCTTGCATTGAGTTTAGAGAAGAATGTGGGAGTGAAACAAATATGGCTTAGTACACAGAAAATCTCTGCATCTCAGAGTGTCTGGCTGAACTGAAATACCTTAACACACAGTAGAGTTACATGTGCAGCCCAACGGTTCTCATCTCTAACCTTTCCAAGTTTTCCCCCAAAACTATGTCACTATAAAAAGACATTTATAGGGCTGGGAAGTTGGCTCAGTGGTAGAGCACTTGCCTTGCATGCCTGAGGCCCTGGGTTCGATTCCTCAGCACCACATAAGCAAAAAGAAAAAAGCCGGAAGTGGTGCTGTGGCTCAAGTGGTAGAGTGCTAGCCTTGAACTGAAGAGCTGAGGGACAGCGCCCAGGCCGAGTTCAGGCCCCATGACCGGGCCCCCCCCCCAAAAAAAGACATTTATAGATGGGCTGGGTGTGGAGGGACATGTTTATAGTCTCGGCTACTGAGGAGGCAGAGATGAGAGAATCTCAGTCCAAGGCTGGCCTCAGCCAAAAGCCAGAGTCCCTGCCTGAAAAAAACAAACAAAGCTAGAAATTGAAGGGCTAGAGGTGGGTCTCAAGTGATCGAGTGATAGAGCACTTGCTTAGCAATCACAAGGGCCTCAGTTCAAATCCCAGTACCACCACCAACAACAAAAAAGACCTTTTCATAGAATTTAAAGCAGGAATATTTCAACAGAAATACTGGAGAGGAAGATGCTGCCTGATCTGAAAGTCCCTTCCATGGTGACTTAGTTCTTCCCAGACGATACTCTCAGCTTGAGTTGTTCTGATGGCACTGGCCCTACCATAAAGGAGTTCATCATGCTTGGAAACTTCAGAATGACAAATGCAACTGGAATTTAACATCCGTGGTAAGTCACAGGCATAAAAGATCATAGAAGGGACAGCATTTTTGTATTCCTTAAAACTCTGGTTAGATCCTGTATCTCTCCATATAAGAAGAGATTGCCACCTTATATTCAGCCTATATGATGCAGAAGGAAATGGACCCATTAGGTTCTGGCCATCACTGACCCTCTCTTGCTTCTGTTTATTCATCAAAAAAGTGATACACTTACACGGTTCAATAAAAATGCCTGGTGAATGCTAGATTTCTAGAGTGTTCATTTGAAATTGCTACTGGCTCTGAGGTGTTAGAATGAGGGACTTCTACTTAGTTCCTTTCCTGGGACAACTCTACACAAACACTGACATGCTGTTTCTCCAACTATTAGGGAGATTAGAAGTGAGGAGACAACGGGAGTAGGGTGGCTGGAAGGAAGCCTTCGCACTGCTTCTGGCCCTGTTTCCACCTTATCCAACATCCACATAACCTCAGAGATCATGGCTCCTAAGCTTACTTTATTTTGAGGATACGTGCACTGTTATAACAGGTGCATGATCGCCATTTGATCAGCTATTCTCATTTTGTGTGTGTGTACCAGTACTGAGGCTTGAACTCAGGACTAAGATGCTTACCCTTAACTTTTATTTATTTATTTATTTTTGCTCATGGCTAGCAGTCTACCACTTGAACCATAGCTCCATTTATGGCTGCTGGTGGTTAATTGGAGATAAGTCCCACCAATTTTTCTCCTAGGCTGGCTTTGTGAGATCACCAATAGTGCAGAGACACCACTGCTGGGTATAAGAAAAGCACAGCTATTCATCCAGAGAAAATACAGAGAAGTATTCAATTATTTTAATAGGCGGCAGGTATTCAATTATTTTAATAGCCAGGCATCTGTGGTTCACACCTGTAATCCTAGCTACTCAGGAAACTGAGATCTGAGGATGGCAGATTTGAAGCCAGCCTAGGAGAAAAATTGGGGGGACTTACCTCCAATTAGCCACCAGCAGCCATAAATGGAGCTATGGTTCAAGTGGTAGGCAACAACCCAGGAGAAGCACTGGAATGAACAAACCAGTGCAGCACATAGCCAAGCACAGTTGAGTTTCCAACTCTAAACTATGAGTAGTGAATTACAGTATTTAAGTATTTGGTGCCAAGGGTTCTATGGTGTATTTCCTTGTTCCAGGAATAGGGAGTTCTCCCTGGCTTCTAGAAAAAGTCATCACCACAATCTATCTTTCCATGTACAGCAGCCCCTCTGCCCATCCATCTGCTCAGGTCATGTGGACTGCTTGTAGCCCACCAATGGCTGCTTCTGAGCACAGGGCCATGGCACAGCACTATGGGCATTCTGACAATGGGCTGAAACCTGAGATGCTACAACCTTTACCTGCACAGACAGCCAAGAGCAAGAACATGGCACAGTACCCAGATATTGGGACATCTGGAGTTTGTAGTTGGTGAATTTAGACCCCCCAGATCCACCATGATATCCACTCCTTTCTTTCCTCCAATAGCCTGCCGTCTCTGTCAACTGGGAGTCACCAGATAAAGAGTGAAGCGCCAATGACACAAGATGTTGACCAGTCTACCGTCAGCAGAGAGAAGCTTCTAGAACTGTACACTCTGCCTGTAAAGAACCTGTTAGAGACAGTGTAGGGAAGAGCTGAAGGAGGCCTTTTGTGTGTTTGCAGGTGCTGTCACCCTCCCATCGTTGGCAAGAGTGGAATCAGCTTGGCATGCAGAAAGGGGGATGAAGTACAGAGACCAGAAGACACAAGAGGAACAAGAAGCCCAGGGGAATCTAGGGGAGGGGAGTGTGAGGATTTTTCTGACTTCATGAGCTCCTATAGGTAGAAGACACATGCTTGAGGAAAACCTCGTTAGCCTGGAGCACATTACAGGCAAACTTTCTACCCTGAAGTTAGATGGTTTCACAGGGCAGAACCATCCACAGGAACAATGGCTCCACTCCTCGTGATAACAAGTCTGGCTTGATGGGGACCTTCCATTCAGAAGGGCGAAGTCCCAAGACGCACATGCATGCTCGCACAGGTGCATCGTACTTTATGCAAAGCATCCAAACAGTCAGACTTACAAACCCTCATCGTCCCTGGCCACGTCCTTGGTGAGACCCAGCTTCTGTGAGGACTTTCCCTCACACAACTCACCGGCAAGGATTTGGAAGAATCCAGTGATGTAAAAGCGGCCTCCTTTGGCGAGGGTGAAGAGCTGGCAGAAGAAGACGAACAGGGATATGACGCTGTAGATGATAGACAGGACCATGGTGGCTTGGACAGACTGCAGCCATCCTGGGGGAAGAAGAATAGCATTTGGTAAGGAAAACTGGGCAGGGGTAGGGGACAGCCTGCCATGAGGGATGTGGGGCCCAGGGAAGCCACAGATACCATCCTCACCAGAAGAGGAAGTCCTTTCTTGACAGAACTCAGGCAATTCGTTCTTGTTTCGGTTTGTGCTGGTACAAGGCTTGAACTCAGGGCCTTGTGCTGTTGCTCAGCTTGTTTTTGCATCTGACTGATGCTCTATCACTTGAGTCACTCTTTCAGTCTAGGTTTATTTGGGCTGGTTTATTGGAGATACAGTCTCTCAAGTTTTTCTGTCCAGACTAGCTTTGAACCGTAACCCTCAGGTCTCATCCTCCTGAGTAGATAGGATGATCCGCATGAGCCACCAGCACCTGGCTTTCCTTGGTCAGTCTTAACCCTAGCCTTTGGTCTCAGTATAGAGCTGCTTTTGATCAGTCAAATCATCTCATCTGGTCATGGTTAACACATTCTCACCTTGGGAGAGTGCTAGCAAGTGGGAGAGTGCTGGCCATGCGCAAAAAAAAAAAAAAGCTCAGGAACAGTGCCCAAGGCCCTGAGTTTAAGCCCCAGAATTGGCAACTTTAAGCCAACAAGATGTCTCAAGTGAAAAACTCTACAACACAAATCACTTTCATGCCCACAACTATTAAACAGGATATATAAAATTATCTTGAGGCCATGTGTAGAAGGTGCAAATATATTAAAAGCTCAGTTTCTGTAATCCCAGTTACTCAAGAGGCTACAATCTGAGAATCAAGCCCAAGCAGAAAAGTCTGTGAAACGTCATCTCCAAGTAACCAGCAAAAAACTGAACTGGAAGTGTTGCTCAAGTGACAGAAAAGCTGAGTGAAAGCTCAAGGCTGAAGTTCAAGCCCTAGTACCAACAAAAAAGAAAGACAGCTGGACATCAGTGGCTCACGTCTGTAATCCTAGCTACTCAGGAGGCTGAGATCTGAGAATCACAGTACAAAGCCAGTCTGGGCAGGAAAGTCTGTGAGACTCTTTATCTCCAACTAACCACTGGAAAACTAGAAGTGGCACTGTGGCTCAAGTGGTAGATCACTGGCCTTGAGCTGAAGAGGTCAGGGATGACAAATAAACAAACAAACAAATAAATAAATAAGATTTGGGTCTCATCCCTACAATAATTCATGTATACTACAAATTTTCTAAAATCTGAAATGAAAATAGTGCAATTCTCTCTGGCTGGTTCATGATGAGCTGGGATAGGGGACAGGCAGGGCTGGTGGAGAGAATGAAAACCCTAGATTTCTCTCTCTATTTCTAAGATCCCTACCTTTTTTGTGCCAGTCCTGGGGTTTGAACTCAGGGTTGGGTACTGTCCTCTAGCATTTATTGTTTGTTTTCTCCTCAAGCCTCGCTACTAACTTTTATTGTTTTTTGTTGTGTCTGGTGGCTAATTGGAGATAAAAGTCTCCATGGATTTTCCTGCATTGGCTGGCTTTGAACCTCGATCCTCAGATCTCAGCCCCCTGAGTAGTTAAGATTACAGGCATGAGCTACCAGCACCCCACTTTATGAGCCACATTATTAGTGTGAGCTACTACTGTATTACACAGAGCAAACCAATTATATATATATAATATATATAGATGAAGTACCTTAGATCTAATAATATCCTTAAATCTTCTATCTGTGTGTGTGTGTGTGTGTGTGTGTGTGTGTGTGTGTGTATGTTAGTACTGGAGCTTGAACTCAGGGCCTCTCACTTTCACATGGCTTTTGCCCTCAAGGCTGGTGCTCTACTACTTCAGCCACACCTCCATGTCTGGCTTTATGCTGGCTAATTGGAACTAAGCAGATTTGTCTGCCTGGAATGGCTTCAAACTATAATCCTCAGATCTCAGCTTGAGTAGCTAGGATTATAGGTGTGAGCCACCAGGGCCAGGCTTCTTTTGTTGGAACTGGAAGTCCCACCCTCTTTATGGTCAAGTGATGTTGTCCTAAGCTGTTTATCAAATGAGACCAGCAGAAAAAAAATTTAATTTCAATTTTTAAAAAAATTTGAAAAAAATGGATAAAACTACAGTGATAGTGGATGTGACTTCCTTCTTTAAATATCAGAAATCCAAAACAAAGTATCTAGGTTATTCATACAACAAGATTTGGAAATTCAGTCCAAAAGATATACTGAAAAATAAGGCCTGAATTACAATACCCTAAGTTACTTTCATGTCCATACAGAGCTATTTCAGAAAATGTCCCTATGTTAGACAAAAAAAATAAAATCTCCAATCTCAACAGTAGAAATGATATAGGTACAACATACAATTAAAGGCAGTCAGAACTTAGATACTGAAAGCAAGGTAGCACAATAAATTTGAATGTTTAAAGTATTTAGAGGAAACCGTGGATAAAGAAATCAAAATGAAACAAAAAGTTTTGGGGCGAGGACAGATACCAAGAGTCCTACATGTCAAACCCCTGGGCTATAGCCAAAGCCGCTCTCAGAGAGAACTTTTATGCATTGATGAGAAAATGTCATTATTTCTGAACAACAGGTAGAATTATTTGATAGTATGTATGTTGTATTGGGTATTACAAGTCATCTAGAGATGGTTTAAAGTACCCAAGAAAGTCTGCACAGGTTATATGTGAATGCTGTACTTCTAATATAGGGCACTTGAGCTCATCTGAGATTTTGGTATAGAGAGAAGAGGAAGCAATCCCCCCCACCCACACACACAACAATGGACAACTGTCTGTGAACTATTTGAACATTTAAAGCCAATTTATGAGAGTACAAGGAAAAAAAAAGATTGGCAGTCAATAATATGTGAAGCTTGCAAAACTCTAAAGTGCAGCACTCCCTAAAGCAGGACTGGCTTTGACAGGCCCAGAAGAAAGTGATCTCTTTGCATCCAATGTCCTCAGCCGGAAGCCATCTGCCATCCACTAGGGCAGAACACAGACATGCCCAGGAGGAGCTGGCCACCATGCTGGCTGGAGATTCACAGCTCAAAAGGGAGCTGTGCCGACTCCTATGCTCATCATCTACCTGACATGGCTCCCCAGCCAGCATATCCCTCACCAGAACTGGAACTGACAAGTGAGCGGGGCAGCTGAAAGTCAGAGTAGACAGACACCACGCATTCGGAGAAGAACAAGCATGGGGTCCCATCGGGGAACAGGCTCTGAAGCCAGGGTGTGCAAAAGGTAGGCCCAACAACTCTGCGCATGCACTCCTCTTAGGACCGCCTGAACATGCTCACATGCTTTTGTTGTGACCAACTTGAGTGTGTGCCCTGCTTAGAGTTCTGTTGCCTATTTCACCTGCTTAATTTGCTCTTTGCTTCTTTTTTTCACCCTGAATTCCTCTTCTCCAACGTGAGGTACTAATGCATCTTACAGAGTTGTGACAACCAAACTGAAGACTTGCTAGCAAAGCTCTGTTAAAACAACGATGGAAAAGCCGGGGATGTAGCTCAGTGGCAGAGAGTGTACCTAGTACCCTGCATGCATGAAGCCATAGGTTCGATCCTCACCATTGCAGGGGGAAAAACAAAACAAAAAAATGAGTGCAAAGAAAACCCCTTATAAGGGTGAGGAATGTGGAGGGGGTAAAGGAAAGAAGCATTTATAGGCTGTTTGGAGAGGCCATTTCCGGGCCACACAAAGTAATCACGTCATGGAGGTCCCAGGTGCCAACCCGTTTGGTATAGATCATATACAGAACCAGTCTTATATAGATGAATATAGATCAACATAGATGAAATGCACTGCAAGGCCAACATTCCAAGTGGTAAACCTGCAAGCCCCAGGGCAGCTTGCTCGGTCCTCCACAAGTCACCAAGCCTTCATGCGTGTAACTGAGCCCCTGCTGAGGACCTTCTAATCCTCCTCAGACCTGGCTTCACCCAGCACAAACTGGACATCTGGTAAATATCTGTGCCCTAAGCCAATCCCTGGCCTTATGTCTGAGCCCTGGAATGAACAACCCTGGGGCTCACGGCAGACTTGCTGTTCCCATGAGACTGACAACTCCAGGTGCTGCTGATGGCTTTCAGATGCAGGCTATGGCTGTGCAGGTCCAGGCTTCCCATCCAAAGATAAGGGGAAATTGGAGTTGCATTATGTTTAAAGCTCCCTTTAAGGTCAGGTCCCTAGCCAGGGGCAGCTGGGCAGTGAAGGAAATAACACCTGCTCTCTCTGTGCATTCTTAGGCCAGGGTCTAAGTCTGGGAAGCTCAGAAAACACAAACCATTCATCTGGTTTCTTTTTTTTTCTTTCTTTCTTTCTTTCTTTTTCTTTCTCTCTTTCTTTCTTTCTTTCTTTCTTTCTTTCTTTCTTTCTTTCTTTCTTTCTTTCTCTCTTTCTTTCTTTCTTTCTCTCTCTCTCTTCCTTTCTTTCTTTCTCCTTCCTTCTTTTCTGTTGTTGTTGTCAGATATGGGGCTTGAACTCAGGGCCTGAGCACTGTTCCTGAGCTTTTTTGATCAAAGCTACAGCTCTACCACTTGAGCCACAGAACCACTTGTGTTTGTTTATTTGTTTTTTTCTTGGTGGTTAACTGGAGATAAGAGTCTCATGGACTGGACTTGCCTGCCTGGGCTGGCTTTGAACCATGATCTTCACATCTCAGCCTCCTGAGTAGTTAGGATTACAGGTGTGAGGCACCAGCGTCTGACTTCTTTCTTTCATTGCTAGCATTCCTCTCTCTCTTTCTGACCTCTAGTCTTGCTGGGAAAATTGGACTCAAATCTGACTCAGGAAAACAGGTTGTGTTTCAAAGGAAAGAAAGGTTGATTAGAAGGCAGAATGTGATGAAGAAGGCTATAAGAGGGGTGATCCCAAAGGGAAGAGTCAGTGTCTTTCCATTTGCATAGTGCTAGGCTATTTTCAAAATCACATGATACTCCTACACACAGGGAGACTGGGAGGCCCAGCCAACACACTGCCATCACACAAAAACTGCTCTCTTCCTCATGAATGTCATTCCAGAAATAGCTAAATTTCCAAGAGGTCTC